AGAACCCTCCTTTAAATTCCACAAAGGAAGCTCCTAAAGGAAGGGGATATGAGATGCTGTTAAATGTAGCAATCAGTCACACAGAATGTCTCCCCATAAAACCACAGTTCAAGTTTAAACCCAAGGTAGACTGAAATTGGCACACTTTACCAGGTACTGGACCCTGACTCTTCTGAGATCTGGTGGTCTAAGGGTTCTTCCTTAATTCACTTCCATTCAAGCGAAAATCACCTTTTAGTCTTCACTGTCTTAGTTATCTAGTACTGCTATAACACAAATATCACAAATTGGTGGCTTTAGACAACAGACATTTATTTTTCTCACAGTTCTGGAGGTTCAAAGTCCAAGTCAGGGTCTCAGCCATTTCTATTCCCTCCTTGTCAGTAGCTACAGGCATTCTTTGGTTTCTTGGTATCCCACAGTTTGTAGGTGACCCTCACATATCATAGTTCTTCCCCTAGGTGTGTGTCTCTGTGTCAGTTTTGTTCTTTTCTTTTCTTTTTTTTTTTTTCTATAACTTAGAAGCAATTAGGGTTAGGGTCAACTCTGTACTGGTATGACCTCATTAATGTAACAAAAAAAATCCGATTTGCAAATAGGATCATACCCACAAGTACAAAGTCAGAAAATCAACACATATTTTTGAGATACACAATTCAATCTGTAATAGTATGGTTATGGAGTGCCTACAGTATGCCCAATGGTAAACAAGTACAATAAGTAATAATAATAATAAAAACTTTAGAAAACATAAGCCTGTGCTCTTTTTTGCAGTGGACTTAGGGAGACAGAAGGAATGAGAAACTCATTGGGGTTGGTTAGGTCTACAGGCTAAATGTGCTATCAAGAATAGGGTGAGTTAGAAGGACTGGGGAATGTTTAATGGATAAGATGGGAGCAAGTTGTTGTTAGGTACCGTCAAGTCGGCTCCAACTCATAGGGACCTTGTGTACACTGAACAAAAGACTGCCCAGTCCTGTGCAAGCCTCACAAGTTAGAACACTGAAGATGCCCTTAGAAGTGTCGTGCTCTATTTTTCACATAAATGTTGGTTCTCAGGAATATTTAATAATAAGGCCACTGTGACCCATGCTATGAATTCAGTAATTTCCTATTTTTTGAGAAGTCCATTTTTGTTGTTAAAAGTTAATTGCATTCACCGGACATTTTACCTGCCTGCACTTCCTCCTAGCAGGTAAAATATGTGTGGACTTTACTGTAATCAATCCAGTATAAGATTTCTGGCCTGCATTCAAGGAAACTATTTACCAGAGAAATTAACGTTTTCAAAGGGGGGAAAAAAAAGACTTGGAAGGAATATTAAATTAAATACTGAGTTTTTAATCTGCTGAAGCAATTGCATCTAGTGGCTTTTGCTATTTATCAATGTACCCCTAAATTTAGGGACTTAAAACAACTATTTTATATTGCTCATAATTCCTTAGATTAGCTGAGCCACTTTCCAGTGTGGGTCAGTTTAACTGTTCTCTGGTAGTCTCTCTTACACATTTATAATTAGCTGGCCAGAAGGCAGGAGGCTGGAGAGTTTAGAACCACCTCACTTACATATCTGGTGGTTTTCAAGCTGTTGGCCAGGGTGACAAGCTGACAGATGAAGCACTTTAATTACCTTCCACATAGCCTCTTTTCCTCCAGCAGGCTAGTTTGAGCTCATTTACTTGGTACATTCAGAGTTTTAATGAACAAAAATTGAGAGCAGAAATGGTAAGTTCTCTTGAGTCTTAGTATTGGGGCTATCAATATAATATATTCTGTATTTTCCTGATTAAAGCAAGATCCAGGTCAGCTCTGATTTAAGAGATGGTAAATAAGATTCTGCTTCTTGATGGGAAGAGCTACAAAGAGTTTCTGGACATTTTCAGTGAACCACAGAAATATACATGTTTGGCCTTGATTAAGATTCTTCCATTGGTGACAAATTAAAATCTTATATTTTATCAAGTTGACAACTCCCTGTGAAACTGAGCTGATGTTATAAAATATGTTCTCCAAGTTAGAGAAATTCGAAATATATTCCTGAATAATGTGTGCATTGATTTTCCAAATACATTGGGTAATGATAATCATTTCATAGCTAACATTGTTGAGTGCTTGCTTTGTGTCAATGGTTTAACATACATTTTACATTTATGATTGTATTTAGTTCTTGCAACAATTTTGTGATACCAGATACTGTTTTGGTAAATTATGTATATCTTAAAAGATATATTATTTACTATAACTCAAAGAACACATTTGGACTTGAATATTGTTGTTTCTCATCCATACTCAGGATATTTTGCTGTGTAGGATGGAATTTTTTTCACTTTTTTTTTTAATTTCAAAAAATGTATTATAAAGCATATCAAACAGAAACAAAGATTGTGTGTAGGTACCATAGCTTGTTTATCCATTCATCTGGTGATGGACACTTTGGTTGTTTCCATCTCTTTGCTACTGTAAACATTGTAAATAATACTGAAATGAACATGGATGCATATATATCTATTTGTGTCATGGGTCTCACTTCTTTAGGATATATTCCTAGTGATGGGATTGCTGGATCAAATAGTATTTCTATTTCCAACTTTTTAAAGGGTGTGCCATACCATTTCCCACCGCAGTTGCACTATTTTACAGTCCCACCAGCAGGATATGAGAGTTCCAACTTCTCTACTCTCTTACTAACTCACTGCTGTTGAGTCAGTCCCAACTCATAGCGACCCCTCCTTGAGTTTCCGAGGCAGCATCACGATGGAAGTAGATTGCCCAACCTTTCTTCTGAGGAGGGGCAAGTGGGTTTGAACCATTAGCCTTCTGGTTAGCAGTAAAATACCTTAGGCACTATGACACCAGAGCTCCTACTCCCTTGCTAGCGTTTTTGCTATTTTCTGCCTCATGAAATTTGCCATTTAATTATTGCTAGGGTGAGATTATATCTCATTGTTGTTTTGATTTGCATCTCTAATGGGTAATGGTTGTGAGCATTTCTTTATGTGTTTGTTGGCTGCATGAATATCTTCTTTGGTAAAGTGTCTGTTCATATCCTTTCCCCATTTTTGAATTGGATTGTTTGTCATTTTGACATTAAAGTGTTGAAGTTTTCTATAAATTTTAGAGACAAGTCCCTTGTCAGATATGTTATTGCCAAATATTTTTTCCCAATTTGTAGGTTCTTCTTTTATTATTTTGGAGAAGCTTTCTGATGCATATAAGAATTCAATATTTAGAAGGATTAGTCATCTAGTTTCTCTTCTGCTGTTTGTACATTTTGGGTTGTGTTTGATAGTCTATTTATACCATAAATTAGGGCCCCTAAGTTTGCCCCTATTTTATCTTTGATGAACTTTATAGTTTTGAGTTTTATATTTAGGTCTTTGTTCTATCTTGAGTTCATTTTTGTGTATACTGTGAAGTATGGATCTTGTTTCATTTCCAGGGAGTGGCTGGTGGGTTTGAACCACCAGACTTCTGGTTAACTGTCAAATGCCTTAGGCACTATACCACCAGAGCTCCTCTTATTTACTACAAGTCAAAGAATACATTTGGACTTGAATATCATTCTTTCTCTTCCACACTCAAGACATTTTGCTGTATAGGTTTGAATTTTGTTTGTTCATTTGTTTCTTCTTTTTTTTTTAGTTTTGAATAAGCAATGTAGTAAAACAATTTTTAAGTTTTGGTATGAAATCCAAACTGTGTTTCAGAGGATCACTGAAAAAAAGTTGTTAGATATAAGAAAATGTATAAGAATAAAATTTAAATTGGTGCTCAGTTTTATTTATAAATATACAAAAAGGTCAATGCCTGATTCTAAAAATATAAAATGATTTTTTATTGAGGTGTTCCTTTTCTAATCTTCTTTAAGTTTAAACCACCAAAGCAACAGGAACAACTTTATGAAAATGCTCTGACCTCCAGAAAATAAAATGTAATTGTGATGAACATATAAATGTGTATGTAATTGTATAGTTGTACAGAATACATATATTTAAATACATATACAGGAATAAAATATATGCCTATTATGTTTGTTTATTTTCTGTTTTTCTAAAAAGATAAAATGTTCTCAATTAAACATGCTAAATTATGTGTGCATACACTTATACACTGTCACATAATTGTATTAATTCAGTAAATAACCATTAACAGCTCATAAGTTCAAAGAACTGTATTAAGATATGTATTTTTTTTTGTTAGTTGCTATTGAGTCTATTCCTACTCATACCAACCCCACGTGTGTAGAGTAGAACTGCTCCACAGGGTCATCAAGGCTGTGACCTTTCAGAAGTAGACCACCAGGCCTGTATTCCAAGATTCCTTTGGGTGTGTTTGAACCTCTAACTTTTTGGCTAATAGTTGAGCCTGTAGCTGTTTATACCACAGGGACACTCTCTCTATGCATACACACACATGCACACACATACATGTACATACACACAGACACACACACACATATATATATATATATATATATACATATGTATACACACACACAATGAGAGAGACTGAATGGGAGAGAGAAATAGCAATTTTAGAAATTATTTCTTTCCAATACAGTTTAAAACTATGTAACCCACTGCCTTCAAGTTGATTCTGACTCATAGCAACCGTATAGGACAGAACAGAACTGCCCTATAGGGTTTCCAAGTCTGTAATCTTTATGGAAGCTGACTGACACATCTTTCTCCCTTGGAGTGGTAGTAGGTACAAACTACTGACCTTTTTGTTAGCAGCTAAGCACTTAACTAATGTACCACCAGGGCTCCTTAATATGATGTAAACACTGTCATAACGTTGGAAGAAATCTTAAAATTTTTCAGTCTAACATGCATCTGAGGATATCTTCACTTGACTGTATTCCTTATGGATATGATATTAACATAGTTTAATTGTTAGTAGAGTAAATTATTTCTTATTTTTGAGCTATATTTTAAATATTTGAAATGTAAATTAAAAGCATTTCTATCATACACTAATTGATACATTTTTCTTTTTAGAAATGCAGTCCAGAGAAAAGTGCTTCATTCTTGAGTAAGATGACCTATTCCTGGTTTAGCAGGTACGAATTTTATAAATTTGTTTGTAGCACACTAAGCTGAGGAGGATGACAAGCAAGCAAAGCCTATGTGTCATTATTTAAGTCTGGATATTTTACAAAGTGACTTTGTGTAGATTTTTGTTTCCCAAATTATTTATTATAAAGAAATTACAGTTAATCTGTGCTAAAAAGTTCCACAGATAGGAGAGTACTATGTGGATTCCAGAACACTTAAATTGTTCTCATGAGGAACCCGTCCATAGACCAAGAAGCTATTGTTTGAACAGAACAAGGGGATACTCTATGTTTTAAAGTGTGGAAGGGTGTGTACATCAGGGTTGCATCCTTTCACCATACTTATTCAGTCTATATGCTGAGCAAATAATCAGAGAAACTGGACTATATGAAGACGAAAGTGACATCAGGATTGGAGGAAGACTCATTAACAACCTGTGATATGCAGATGACACCACATTATTTGCTGAAAATAAAGATGACTTGAAACACTGTTGATGATGAATGACTACAGTCTCCAGTTTTCATTACATCTCAATGTGAAAATGAAAATCTTCATAACTGGACCAATAAGCAACATAATGATAAATGGAGAAGAGATTGAAGTTATCGGGAATTTCATTTTACTTGGGTCCTGTCAACACTCATGAAGCAGCAGTTAGGAAATCAGACATCGTATTGCACTAGTAAAATCTTCTGCAAAAGACCTCTTAAAAGTGTTAAGAAGCAAAGATGTCAGTTTGAACACTAAGGTATGCCTGACACAAGCCATGGTATTTTCACTCGTCTCATGTACGTGTGAAAACTGGACAGTGACTAAGGAATATCAAAGAGGAGTTGATGCTTTTGAATTGTGCTTTTGGCAAAGTATACTGAAAATACCGTGGACTGCCAGAAGAGTGAACAAATCTGTGCTAGATGAAGTTCAAACCAACCAGAATGCTGGCGGTTCAAACCAGCCGGAATGCTCCTTTGAAGTGAGAATGTCTAGACTTCATCTTACCTACTTTGGTTATGTTATCAGAAGGGACTATTCCCTCAAGAAGTATATCATGTTTTGAAAAGTAGAGGGCCAGCAAAGAAGGGGAAGACCCTCAATGAGATGGATTGACACAGTGGCTGCACTGAATAGCAAGAATAGCAAGGATTGTGAGAATAATGCAAGACAGGGAAGTATTTTGTTTTGTTGTAGATAGGTTTGCTATGAGTTGGAGCCGAGGGATGGCACCTAACAGCAACAACAACAATACACCTTTAACATTGCTGTCCATTTTAGTTTTTTTACTCATATTAACTCTAGGGAATGGCAGAAAAATGAACTTTTTTTTTTTTTTGAGTATCATGTTCATGCTATCCACTTTATGTATATGCTACCTGGTTCAATTTGTACCCAAACCCTATGAAATAGGCATTAATATCCCCATTTACAGATAAGAAAACTGAGGTTCATAAAGAGGAAGTAACTTGTCCATTGATACGCAGTTAGGAATACATTACATTGGTGCTAGAAGCCAATTCCTTTGTTTCGTGGTTTCATGGTTTTTTCACTCTACCTATTACTTGGAATGTTCTCATATATACCTGTATCTTCTACTATAGGGGCAAACAGAAGTAGAATATTATTAACAAAATTAACAATTTTTATAAAATATATTCTGTGTTATCCCACAGAAGAATAATTCATCCATAATGTTTGAAGTCTCAGAAATATATTAGGAAATACCCATAGTAACCTCTGACTTAAAAAAGGAATTAAACCATATTAAAAAAGAAGAGTTGACATTTTCTAATTTTATAAATTTAGAAACTTTCTTTAAAAATGTGTTTCTTTTTTATCCCCCAATAGGACAGCATTTTTGATAAAATGAAGCTAAATTTGTATTAAGTTTATGCCTCTTGCTCTTTTCTTGGTAGAAACTAAATTGCTCAATTTGATCTATAGATACATTCTCAAATATGGATAAACATTTTTATTTTACTAACTTTTTATTAGGAGCTCTAGTAGCGTAGTGCCTAAGGCACTTGACTGCTAACCAGAAGGCTGGCAGTTCAAACCCGCCAGCCACTCCTCGGAAGGAAGTTTGGGCAATTTACTTCCATAGTGATACCGCCTCGGAAACCCAAGGAGAGGTCGTTATGAGTCAGCTTTGCCTCGACAGCACATAACAACAACTTTTTACTGTGATTTGGGTGAAAGTTTACAGAATAAATTGCTTTTCCATTCAACAATTCATACATATTTTATTTCATGACATTGATTATAATTCCCACAATGTAATGGCACTCTTCCCATTTCCTCCCTGTGGTTACCAATTCCCTTTCCCCTTCTTTCCTATCCATGCCTACCTTCTGAGATTTACCTCTGGGCAAATGCTGGCCTTTTGCTCTCTTTTGTTTGTTTATTCTAAGAAGTGCATACCTTGGTGTTACTGTTCACCTCATAGACCTGTCTATTGTTTGGCTAAAAGTTGAGCCACGGGAGTGAGTTTAGTTCCAAGCTTGAAAGGTAACTAGGGTCATAGTCCTGGGGGTTCCAGCAGTCTCTATCAGACCAGTAAGCCTGGTCTTTTGACTAGTATTATTATTTTGAGATTTGTTCCACATTTTTCTTCCACTCTATCCAGGATCCCTATTGAGATCCCTTTCAGGGTGGTTGGCAGTAGTAGCTGGGCACCATCTATTTCTTCTGGTCTCAAGGTTGTGGAGGCTGAAGTTCACATGGTCCACTAGTTTCCATGTATCTTTGATTTTCTACACTCTTGTTTGCTGTGGACAAGGAGAGACTACTAGTTGCATTTTAGACGGCTTCTCATAAACTTTTAAGACCCCAGTTGCTAGTCACCAAAGTAGGATGTAGAACAATGTGTTAGTAGACTGTGTTATGCCAGTTTACCTTGATGTCCCCCATGATTATGGCCTTGTGCTCATAGGCCCAGTGATCCACTCCCTCAAGGTGTTTGGTTATGACTAAGAAGTTTTCATATTGTTGCCTCCTTTTAGCTCTACTGTATACATAGACATCATTACAGCTCATTCATATACTTTTGTAGAAATATTGACTACCCAATCTATATATGGTCGTGGGTATAGTATCATTTGCCTATCGATATCTGATCATTTTGCCTGTACTTATGTATCCACTCATAGATTAGTATTTGTTATTGCTCATCATGGAGGATTGTGTATGTGATAGTGTTTACCTTTATGGTCTGTATGTCTTATGCACCTCTTCATGTCTACCTTTTCATTAGTGATATTGTGCTGGTCACCCACTATTTGTATATTGTCTTTCCCTTTTCACTGATGTTAATATGTGTCTTTACGTACTTGGTAATTTTCCCTCCCCTCCCCTCCCTTCTTACCCCTGTTAATCACCAAAGAAAGTTTCTTTCCAAGTATAAATCTTTCCTTGGGTCTTTATAATAGTGGACTCACACAATATTTGGCTTTTTGTGATTGACTTATTTCACTCAGGGTTATATCTTCCAAGTCATCCACATTATGAGGTGTTTCACTGATTCTTCATAATTCTTTAATGTTGCATAGCATTCCACTGTGTGTATGTACCAGGTTAGTTTCTTTATCCATTCAACTGTTGATGGGCACTTAGGTTGTTTCCATCCCTTTGCTATTGTGAATAATGCTGAGATGAACATGGGTATGCATGTATCTGTTCATATCTGGCTCTTAGTTCTTTAGGATATATACCTAGTAGCAGGATTGCTGGATCAAATGGTATTTCTATTCCAACTTTTTATGGAAGTACCATGTGGTTTTCCACAGTGATTGTACTATTTTACATCCACCAGCAGTATCTGAGAATTTCAATCTCTCCACACCCTCGACAGCTGGGATTGATTGTTTGCCGACTTGTTAACTTTGCTATTATTGATGGTGTTAGATGATAACTCATTGTCATTTTGATTTGCATCTCTCTAATGACTAAGGATTGTGAGCATGTCTTCATGTATTCATTAACTTCCTTAATATATTCTTTAGTGAAATGTCTGTTCATGTCCTTTGCCCATTTGTTAATTGGATTATCTTTTTGATGTTGAAGTGTTGAAATTTTCTATAAATTTTAGAGTTAAGTCCCTTTTTGGATATGTCATGCCAAATAATTTCTTCCCAATATGTAGGTTCTCTTCTTACACTTTTGGAGAAGTCTTTTGATATGCATAAGAATCTAATTTTTAGGAGGTCCTAGTCATCTAGTTTATTATCTGCTGTTTGTTTATTCTTGGTAATATTTAATAATCTATTTATGATATAAATTTGGATCCCTAAGTTTGCCCCTATTTTTTCTTTGATGATCTTTATAGTTTTTGGTTTAACATTTAGATCTTTGATCCATCTTGAGTTGTTTTTTGTATGCAGTGTAATCTTGTTTCATTTTTCTATGAATAGATATCAAGTTTTGCCAGCAACATTTAATAGATTCTAGATCATCGTCAAAAATCATCTGTCCATAGGTGGTAGTTATATTTCTGGGTTCCCAAATCTGTTACATTGTTCAATGATGGTGTACCAGCATCAAAGTGTTTTGACTACTGTGACTGTACAGTGAATTTTGAGATAAAGAAGTGTGAATCCTCCTACTTTGTTATTGTGCTTCACTAGTGCTTTGCTTCTCCATGGTCTCTTTACTTTCCATATAAAATTAGTGCTTGGTTTTTCCATCTCCTTAGAAAATATTGATGGAATCAGGATTGGAATTGTATTATATCTATATATTCCTTTGGGTTGTTGTTGTCATTAGATGCCATCAAGTTGTCTCCAACTCAGAGCAACCCTATGCACAGCATAATGAAACACTACCTGGTCCTGAGCCAGCTCCATGATTCATGCTATACTTGAGCCCATTGTTGCTGCCACCGTGTAAATCCATCTTGTTGAAGGCCTTCCCTTTTATCAACCTTCCACCTTACAAAGCATGACATCCTTCTCCAGGGAATGGTCCCTTCTGACAACATGACCAAAGTGTGTGAGACAAAGTCTGGCCATTC